ATTTGACAGTGGTTTCTTGGGCCAGCGCCAGGTGGCTGAATGATCCACATATCAGGATCACTTGCCATCATACTGGGGGGTCACAACCCAGTACTCCCCTGCCACCTGTGCAACGCAGTGCCACAAGTTCGCCTGCATCCAAGCTAGAGGGACAACATGTTTGATCAAACTTAAACTCCCTCAGGCAACAAATCATCATCCCACCAAATTCACCAACTCACTCATGAGCAATGCTTTAGACATGTTTGAGACATCTTTTCTACTTAAGGTTTTTGCAAACTGGTTGAGACTCTTGCACAAACAAATTACATAAGTGACTACCTGTTTTGGAAGTCAAGAGCTTAAACATGTGCCATCATTTGCTGATCCAGCCTCATCCTCCTCATCATTGAGTGTGCGCAACATCTCTGACATGGAGTCTGGTGACTTCAGGTGTGGCTTCTCCATCACAAGAGTTTCCACCCTGTCTCTCGAAAAGGCTTTCAGGTTTTCAAAAGCTCGCCTTAGTCAGCGTTCTTGAAATTGGAAACCAGACTTCTTCAATCAATTGAACCGGATGGCAAATGGGAAATTACATTTTAGTTCACACTCTGGCGGCAAGATAGCACAACAACTGCATCCAGCACAAGAAACTTGAGTGATGGATGTGCTCCGACATCCTGTATTAGCACCTTTCTGCCCCCCATCCATCCTTGGCCATTAAACCATCTAGTGATCTCATCAGGTTCTACCTGTAGTATGACAAAGGATGACATTTGAGTCATGTGAGTAGTAAGTGCAATCACTTCAGTCACCCAAGCCTCTCACGAAACAAAGGTAGGAAACGGAGCAGTGGTCTCCTACGAGGCAAGTAGGTGCTGAGTGGGAGCACTCACTGTTCAATTCAACAACTTGCAACAGACTGTCAAGCATGACTTAACTCATCGTTCATGGCACCTTTGACATGAAAGAACATGTTCATACTCTAGGCTCCACACCTCCAAGATGAGGACATGTTGCTCACCCATTTCCACACTCAACAACTGCAAGGCTTCCATAAAGGCCATTGGAATCTAGATAACACAAATTAGAGATATGACACCTGACAGAATGAAACGAACCTTTGAGCCAAGAAGCAAGTCAACCAATCCATGTTTAAAAGTTTAGTGTGGTCAGGATCCTTATTTTAGTTACAGTAATTACATTCACTATGCTTTGAATACATTAACAATTGGCCGTTGCCCTGAGTTTTCCGGTTCAGCTGATTACTGAATAGATGGATTAATCATAAACATACTCTTACATAAATAGCCACAACAGAGCCCTCGGTCCCTCAGTCAGTGTCCCAGAAAAGTTATGCGAGTCAAGACTGTCATGGGTCACTCACAAACAACTCATAATGCAGTTCAACACATCATCATATCATATCATTGTGACATCACTCATTCACCTCACGCACCTTAATTTTACACCACTCAGACTCAGCATCATCTGAACCCAACTAGTCCTTGACCCTGCCAAAAATGGCCATGCGTGTTTGCATGCTGGTCTCATCCCGGACTCTCGCAATGATGACCTTGTCTTGCTTGTCATCAGGGCCTGATTCCTGGTTGATGACAATCAAATCAACGCTGTAACTCTGAAATGTCACTGGCATGCTGGTAATCAAGGGAGTTGTCGTCCGTAGAAATTCTGCCAGAGCCGCAGTGGAGGAAAACTCTGCAATCCTGATGATGTTAACAGATTCAAATGACTCTTGGTTAGGTTGACCTGCCAGTGGTTCAGTTTGCAAAAAAAACTTCCATTGTATCTGAGATTCGGTTCCATGTCGGGATTCTCTGGTAGATCAAACGTCGTTCCGACAATTGGCGGGCCCCACCAAACAGTAGTCAAAGGGCACACCAACCGAAGAGCCATCTCAAGGACTCAGACTTCAGTGCCCACCAGCCAAACTCCAAATCTAGGACATACAATATGACAACTGACTGAATGGAATGAATCTTTGAGCCAAGGCATATGCATCCAAACAATTTGCAGATGTACTCAGCACAGCAACACTGGAACATGTCAAAAAACAGACAATGGTTCTCACAGTGTCACATGTAAGTATGCAAGGTTGAGAGTTTGCTTGTTTAGTTTCAAAAAACTGTAGTCAATCCCAAACCAGCCAGGCACACCCATACTCAGCCAATGGCAAGTTGAGAAAACAACAGTCAAATGAAATGAAGTCACACTGAGTCTAACAGAACATGTCCTGTGTGTCCTGTTGGGTGTCACATGTTAAACCCTTCAATAAAACCTGAGACCCTTGGGCTGAGACCTATCACAGTATTTGAGCCAAGGCCTGCAAGCAATTAAAAACTAGTGACAAACACACAGTCTGTGGTACTGTACGTAGTTGTTAGTTTTAGTTACTTTGAAGCTGGGTCAAAGGAGTCTAGGCTGGGGCTAGGACCTGAAGTCATCTCAAATGAATGAAATGTCAAATTTGACATGTCACATTTGACATTTGACAAGCAAAGGGCAGCAACAGCTCAGGACAAACAAGCTGCACCTTCAACACTGCAGGCCAAACCCAAAGTCAGTCAGTGGAGCTTTTGCAAGAAACACCGACACACAGCTATAGCAACCTGAATCAGCCTTAACCTGAATTTAATTAAACAGTGTTAACTGAACACATTGATCGATGGGACAGGTATATCAAGTCAAAAGAGGGGATAGCTCAGCAACGGGGAAGATTAACAATGAAAGGCAACAAAGAAACAACAAAACACAAAAATAGCCAAAAAAAGACAAAAAAAAGACAGATTGAGACAGATCGAGACAACCCCAAAACCATGGCTGGATGAAACCCATCATGGCCCAACCCCTGCTTTCCATCTTGTGA